TTTTCCCTAACTTTATGTAATTCTTCCTGAATCTTTCTGCTTTTGTTTAAATTTTGTATTAAATTTACCAAGTTAAAGATAAATCTAACTATATATTTAAGTGGAATCATATTATAATTACATTCTAAATGAAGGAATACTTTATATACATATAATATTTAATCAGTTCATCTAAAAATGTAGGTTTTTCATGTATTGCAATTACCTTCTGTGTACTTTTTTGACATTTTAAACTTTCTTATAAGTGATAAAACATAATTTTGATTGAGGTTAATTCTTACATACATTAAATTTTATTACTATTGTGGATTATAGTTTTATTTTTACTTATGCTTCTGATTGACTGTTGCTGGAGCTATTAAATTTTTACAAGTACTTAAATTTTATCTTATGTAAACATTGTTGGACTTGCTTAAAATGATGGTTATAGGTATTAGTTCTATTGCTTTTTCAGAATGATAAGCATCTCATCTGAAAATAATGACAGTTTTATCTTGCCCAATTTCCTCATTTTTCTTTTCAATGAATTAATTCCAGTCTTTAAGCTTTCCTTGGTATCCTTTTACCTGTTTCCTACAGGTTTCAACAAGCAGGATTCAGATAGCTAACTGTGAGTAATTTGCAATTATTATTGCATTTTCTCTGTAATGAGTGTTATTTAAATGTGTGCCCCTCAAATAACCACTTGTGCATGTGCTTAGAAGTTTATGCTTGAAAATTTCAGAGGCATATATTTTCATTGGACAGAATAACGATGTATACAATTCTATTTGAAATGTGGTCAGAAAACATGGCAAGGATCACATTGTCTCCTAGATATCTCCTGAGATGGAGTGAACTGTGATAGATTTGTCATTTATTTCCCCAGATAGAGTCTTCCTTCCTTCTATGCGCCTATGTGCTGTTAGAGGCTCTCCTCTCTGGCTCCTACCATTTAGGCTCTTAGACCCCAGATTCTTTGACAGATGGGAGGCACAGGCCAAAGATCAGCATCAATTTGGGATTGCAAATGACTCATTCATTCCCTGCTCCATCCTTGCTGTGTTAGAGTTTTAACTGCCTGAACTGTGTACAGTCACTGTTTCTCATTATGATGTATCCTATCCTCAAATCCCAAGTAAGTCATTTTCAGATGTAGTGTCAGATGTAACCATCTTTCCTGCTTTCTGGGATCTCGGTATCCTTTGCTTATTCTCTTCACACATCACAAATACCTGTTAAATGTCTCTTCTTCAGTTTTCTCCACTAACATCCTTTTTGTTAACTTTTTTAAAAGCAATTTTATGGTGATCTGTTTAAAAGAACCATTTACATGCTTGTGTTTGTATGTGCGCATCTATATGTCTGCTCCTGTGACTCTATGAGTACATGTACACACATGTGTGCAAATACATTTGCTTATAGCCATGTAAGCAATCTGAAAACGATGTTGGGAATTCTCTTCTATCACTCTCTGTCTCTCCTTTGAGTCAGGGTCTTTGTTTATATTTGTATTTGATAATCATGTTTTCTTGGCTAGACTGGAAACCAACAAGCCCCAGTGATCCTCTCTCCATCTCCCCAGAAATGGGGTTATAGGCATGAACTGGATAACCAACTTTTTGTGTAGACTCTGAGATTCCAACTCCAATCCTTCATGATGGCAAAATAAGTGCTTTTAACCACTGTTCTGCCTCTTCAATCCTCATTGACATCTCTTAAGCCCAGATTCCTTTCCAAACCTCTGCCGGTCTATACTTCTCCAGCAGAAGATAGAAAATAATATAAAAGCTATGACTGGACAATTGAGAATTACCAAGTGCTTAATTTGAAACATTACTACAAAAGAGAGATAAGGAGTTTTATTCCAGAATCTCTCCACATAAACTGCACATGAACCAAGCCACACATCTTGGTCTAGACAAGAATCATTATTGAGTTCAGACTTTAAGTCAACAGCATAACACACAACTCTCCCAGATGACTGAATAAATATGGAATCCTACCAATGTGCTTCCATCTTCACTTAGTGACCTGATCCACTCCTCTGAATTACATTTTCCCTTTGACTATTTTGATCTATTTATTGCCTCTAATTCGTCATATTTTAGTCCTGTGCTTAGAATTTGAAATGTTACAGCATCAGAGCAAAAAGAAGGTGGTACAGGAGACTGGAAAGAAGAAAGCCATCCATAGGAAAAATCATCTGCTTCCAGGAGTTTCACCAATTTCTTTTTTAAAAATGTTTATTCTTCAGAATTTAATAATTTATACAAAAAATATGATCACATATGCCCCTCATTTACATTCTCATTCCTCCAATATCCCATGACCCATCCACCTCCCAACTTCATGTCTTTTCAATTTTTTTGTTACTCAAAATGAAGACTGGAACATTTAGATTATAAGAATACATTTGTCCAAAGGCTTACAAAATTGTTCTGAATTCCCAAGTTCACCTTCGCATCCAAGAAGTCTTCATCCAAACTACCGATGGTGCTCCTACTCAGTCAATACACTTACTTTACTTTATAAGCCTGCTGTGGGGTCTTTGAAACTCTGAAATATGTGCCATCAGATTGCAGACTTGATCTTCACCTATACACTATGTATAACTAAGAAGAGGGGAAACCACTGGGATATCAGATGGCTGGCATCTGGAGATCTATCCAGCCTTGAATGATAGCTATTTTTATTCTTATTATTTTGTAGACTTTTCAGTGTAGTTGAGTACCCATGCTATTTAGTCATTATTCTTACTGTAATCTCATCCACTGAATCATTGTTAACTGGTCCTCTAGCAGCAGTTGACTCTGTGTCTTCACCAATGATATTCGCAACTAAAATTATGAATTTCCAGTGCCCTCATAGACAATATCTATGTTATGAAAATTGTGAACAAATCTCCAGAATTTATCTTTTAGAGTATGTATGATACTAAGATACATAGCACCCATAAATCTTTTGGGTCTCTGTAGAGAAGAGATGGCATATGGCATATTATGCTGTAGACAAGGTTAACTATCAATAAAGAATGGCCAAATAACCAGATAAAAATGGAAGATATGCAGGGAGAAAGTTGAAGTTATTACAAACTGTGGGAACTGAGGCAACTTCCATAGGAACCCATGGTTTATAAAACTACAGTCTTGATGGTTCCATCAAAGAAAACAGATTACAAAGAAAACTTGGGATGATATGAAGACTCAATCTCTCTCTCCCAGGCCCCTACTTTCCTATGGGTTTCTCATCAATGACAAAATCCAGCAAGAAACCAGGATTTGGGGAAACTGGGTGGCCACTTCCCCTTTAATCAGCCTCAAGGGACACTGAGGAGGACACAGATAGCATAAAATAGGTCTTGATGAAAGTGTTCTGTGTTTGTTCAGTCCTTGTGGTAGAATTCGATGGCCACTGTCAGTGATATATGAAAAATATTTAAGTATTGGAGGCAATTCAGTACCACCTATAGCGGTGGCATAGTCTGACAAGTAGCCTCCTCAGCAGCAGGTATCCAGACAGGTATTGTCCACTCTACCCAGATATTCCCTCACACTCATTAAATGATTTTCTCCTTCTCTAAGCTTCTGTACTTGCAGGTCCATCTCACTGAGTCTTAGATTAGGTGATTTTGCAGTTTGACCAACCAATTTGCTTCCCTTAGGCATCCCTGCTGAGAGCCTGTAGGTAGGTCTATGGTAGTAGTTTGAATTAGAGTAATCCCCATGGGTGCATATATTTGAATGCTTGTTCCAAAGTTGGTGGAAATGTTTGGAAAATAATTATGAGGTATGGCCTATTGGAAGAGGTATGTTTCTAGGAGTGGGCTTTGAAGTTCCAAACACATTTTCTCAGTCCCAGTCTCAGCTTCACTACTCTCTAGTCATTCTAGTCTCTCTACTTTCTTCTCTCTCTCTCTCTCTCTCTCTCTCTCTCTCTCTCTCTCTCTCTCTCTCTCTCTCTCTCTCCCCCCCCCCCTGTCTTATAGTTGTGTTGGAGGAAATGCTGTAGTACTATGGTTATATGCCCCTGGCCATGCTTCCTGCCATGATGATCATGGGTACCAACTCTTTGAAATTGTAAGTCCCAAATTAAATGCTTTCTTTTATAAAGTGCCTTGACCATGACATTTTATCACAGTGATAGAAAAGTAACTAAGATCAACCTTAGTTGGTCACTCTTTAGTGACTACTTAGTTCCCATTCCTTCCCTGCTGTCACCACTTCTGTCACAGGAAATCTTAGATGTGACTCTCAGTCTTTGTTGGAAGATTTCCCTAGCATGCACTCAGGTATGTTCCATCCAAATACAACCCCATGCCTACCATCAGTGATGCTGGATTTTGGTACAAAATGTCTCCCCACTCACTTTTCACCAATGATGAATAGTGGTTTGTGGTGTGTGTGTGTGTGTGTGTGTGTGTACCATTTTTAGGAAATACATGTTTAGCAGCTAGTCTTTTCAGCATATCATCACTCTGTGATCTATACACTGAAGCCATCTTCCAACTACTTGGCTGTAATAAATGAAACTTTTAAAATTTATTCTTATTTTGGTGTATATGTTACTACCTGCTTGTTTATATGTCTACACCCAGCATGTGTGAAACTTCCTGGAGAGGCCAGTAGAGAGCACCAGATCTCCCAGAACTGAAATCAATAAGTTTTGAGCCATCAGGTGGGTGCTGGAAACCAAACTCTGGTCCTTTGTAAAATCAGCAAGTGCTCTTAAGCACTGAGACATGTCTTCAGCATTATAACTTTGTAAATTTTCCATAATACAAATGTCCCTGTTCACAAAACAAAAATCCTATGATCAGAAGACACACCCTTCATGTTATTAATTATCTTCCTTTACTCAGGTGTGTCTTTCATGCTTGTGGGACACGGGAACACACCAATTTAGTAGAACATTGTTGACATAAAATGAAATTGTCTCATATAACAATATTTGTGAGAACAACTCCCCCCCCCCCCCCCCCCCCCCCCGTGACAACAACTTTTGTGAAGCAATGTTCTGACTGGATGGAAGATAACACTTGCTTTATCCCAGAGCAAGTCCAGTGGGAGGTGACAATGTTTGTTTCTTTAAACAAACTACTCAAGGGATGAAATGTTTCATAACCTAAAGAGAAAAAAAAAGCAAAGAAAAATAGAGAATACACAAACTTTAGGTAATATGCTTCCTAGTACAACTTTTTACAGCTTTCTCAAACACATGTGGACAGCTAATCTGTCACATTCCTCACCAATGATTAGGGCAGTGTTTCCCATATTCCAAAACCTAGTAATAATATATATAAGACTGCTTGTAGTTACAATAAAACCCAGGCAAGATATGTTGCATATGTAACAGAAATATGTCCATTGGAGGGTGTTTCTTCTATTAAGATCACCCTTCCTGAATAGCTACATAGGATCCTAGGTTGCAACACATGCTCACTTTGGGATCTCAAAACGTCTGCTCATCATGAATTTCTAGAAGGTAAATAAGATTTCAAACTATCTGAACCTTCAACTGACAATCCACTTCCTTTTGTTTTGGGCATGCCAAATTTTGTAATTCCCTGTTATTGTACTTTTAACAACCTGATATGATTACCTTACATCATAAGCTTTCAAAAAACAACCATACAGTCCCTGACATACTGACTGTACATAAGTATGATAAAATCCCAAAAAAATTATCACTTGCCTAGTTCTAGTCTGTTTCTGTAGAGTTCTTTTGCTCTTCTGTTTCAAGCATTAAGAACTTTTCATCTTTGTTTCCACTCTCCCTTCTTCTATGAACAGTTATAAAGAGCAACTGTGATTTTCATTTTCTGAAGTATTAGGTTATTGTCTCCAAAAGGGTCATAAAGAGAGTCAACTTTTCCTTTTATGTAGTTTCAGCACAACTTACATCATGAACTGTGCATTTCTAAAACCGTCCATTTAATTGTCAGTAATGAATTTGATCTTTCTTTCATGAGATGTTGATGTATATTGAAAAGAGGGGAGTCCTCTAAATTCCAGTGTCTCATACTTTACCTTTTTAACAGACATCAAATAAGTGGAGGCAGTTATTGTCCTTTGCAATATGGCTTTCATTCATATTCTACTTACAAAAATAAGACATACACAAAGGTGCTTTTATTGTTTGAGACACACAGTATAGCTCATGCTTGCCTAGAATGCACAAGTCTCCTTTATCAAGTCCTAGAATTAAAGGTATATAACACCACTCCTAGAAGACACTCTAAGTTTTATGATAAAACATGTTTAGTTCTTCTTGAATGTTTCTATGTGGTTACTGTTAAGTGCTTGCTTGTGAATCTTAAGTATCAAGCTATCTTTTTTTGCATTGTCCCTTCTATACTCACTTTAAATATGTACATTTAAAGTAAGCTATCTTAAATGCATAAGCATATTTTGGTCACACCAAATGTAAAAGGGTAGTTCTCAGACAGCAGCTACAGATAATTTTCAGTGAAGACAAATTCTGGAGAAACTGTCTACAATGGAGATGGTTACCAGTTCTCCCTGTTACGAGGTAAGGGAACCTATTCCTACCTTCATCCCTTCCATCTTTCCCATCTTCCATTGGACCTTCCTTGTCACCAGGCATCAAGCTCAGGTAAATATTCATATGGCAGAAGTTTCTGCTTTGAGGATCATAAAAATGCCATCCAAATAATTTAAGGACTTCTTGGAAGCTATTTGGCCATAGATATAGCTTGAAAATTGCAGCCATGGAAGGCAACTAAATGGAAAGGATACCTTGAATGTTGGTCTCAAAACTATTATTTCATTTTCTTCCACTCATATCCATTAGGATGGTCCAAAAACCTGGTTCACATTTTCTATATGTATTGCCCTTTAATTATACCTGCATTTCATCCCCCTATTTCTTTTACCTCTCATAGTTAAACTCTTGAATGACTTTTCCTTTTGAGAGCAAAGGGAGTCTACATGACAAGAGGTAACTATATTATTAATTTTAATAACAGTTGGAGAAATGCTCATCTTTTATACAACCCATATACTCTGGCATAGCCCATTATGTATGTGTGTATTCATGCCTTTGTTTGTTGGTGTCTTCTCACTTTGAACTTCTTGCTTCCATCTTTCATTCTCTCTTTTGTTCACTCAGTGTCCAATACTGTTACCTTTCCCACAAGCATTTGTTATAAAAACAAACACATCTTAAAATATTATCATTCAAGAGATATTTTCTGTCCTATAATTATTAAGAACAAAAGGGATGATTTTCAGTGTGAATGAATATGAGAAGAAATTGATGAGAGAATCATTTTGTGGTAAAGAAATTATTGTAGATCTTTAAATTATATAAAGTGACATCATTATATTCTTTCTAATGACAATCCAATAGTCAACAAAGGCATGAGGTTATGTTGTAAGAAGCTCACATTTGTCCAGAAAAAAAATAAATTTCCCAAGAACCTGCTTTCTTAAACCCTGTTATAAACACACTGTTCCATGAATACAGAGAGCCGACCATGCCTAGGAAGTAGCTACCAATGGTGCCTCAAAAGCACCGGCATCTGACTTGCTATCCAGAGTGTTATAGCCATGCTGTTTGTGATTTTAATTAGCTTTCCAAACATATGACAAAACTAGATTGAATAAATCAAACTGACCTTTAAATTTCTAGAGTTATAGCCTATTTAAATGTCCATAATGCTGCAATGATAACCCAAGTTAATAACCATTTCACTCCGCTACCAGAGAGGCTCTGGGGTGATACACAATGTTATTAATTTTGGCATGATTACAAATTATTCTTATAGTTCAGGTTTAATGCAGTATTGATGCTGTTATTAATATGGATTTGTCAGTAAAGATACAAAACTGAGTTAGTCCCAGCTAATGTCAGTTTTAAGACTGAAAAATAAAAACTTTTAAAAAATCTACTTTATATGCAGGAAGCTAGGCAAAACCGATAAGACCAGAGCTTCATTTAAAGGATGTTTAGCTTGTTCTAAGAAAGAATTCAAAACGGTAAAACAAGCAAAGCATATACCATAATTCTGTCCATTAACTAGTGAAATATTATAAAGTTATATGTTTTTATAATTTTAAAAATATCTTAGGAAGTTGATCGACCTCTCATGATAACTCCATGAAGTCTACATAAGGGAAGTTTAAGTTAATTTTCAGCATTAGATGAAGAAAGAGCATAGTTTTCAGTGTGAGTCATTTCTTTTGGAAATTTTCCAGGCAGCATTTCAATGCAAACTAACTATATGTATGTGGCTTGGAGAAAAAGATCAATTACCATGTATAGAAACTATTGTGGCAAGACAGTTTAGCACAGTGGTGGAGAGTTATAGCTGGACTCCAGTGGGAACTAAATTTTAAATTGGCTATCTGTATGCTTGGTTTAATAATTGCTAAGTATATTTATACAAAATGCTTCATCTGAGGTATTAGATTAAAACATTATTTATCTCAGAATGTTTGCAGTGGGCATATAAGAGGACACATGAGATGTGTTCAATGGTGCCTGCCCTTGGTCAAGTCCCAGCACACATAAACTCTAGTTGATACATGCAAAGGAGAGAATATGTTCTCCATGTTACTCCTATACCCAAAGAAATAAAGTAATCACCATAAGGACTCACAGCTATGAAACATTTGTGATGAGATTAGAGCCATGATGCTTGCAGTTAATCAGTCACCATGCTGACTCATCTGCTTAGATTATTTTCTGAGGTATGATCCTAGGTAAAGTTTGGATGGAGCTTAGATTTTTCCACATAAAAATTAATCCTCCTTGAGTTTTGTTTGCAGTACTTCAAATAAACCCTTAACATAAGATAAATAGAAAAGCTGGGTGATACCATCTTCCTTAGAGATATCAAATATCTGTCACTAAGTGCTGGTCTATGGAAAAAACATGAGTATCTTACAAAACACCAGTACCTGCCTTTTCACTGGAAATCTCCCCTGATGCCTGAGGAAATGGGTGTAAGTGTGCTAATAGTAGTTTTTCAATGCCTGTATGTATTGAAACATTTTTAGAGAATTTAGGTTTTTCTTCAAAACTGACAAATAACAAAGTCACAAAAGTGCTTCTGTTGAAGTTCCAACCTTCCCTTTCAGCTTCATTCCTACTGTCCACTAGGCACCCAACAATGTTCTTTGTTTTGCTTTCACTGTTGATTGCTCTGTTTAACAAGATACTTTTCCCTTTTGAAACTCCCAGTTCACTCCCTCCATGAGTGAAGCTATCCCTCTCAAGAAAGTGGTCTCAGGCGGGTCAGTCACATCTCATTGTCTTTGTCTTCCCAGTGGCAATGAACATATTCTCTTTATATCATGTGCATTTGCGTGCATACATGTTACTACCCAAGCAGTTTAGAGGTTTTGGAGTTACAGCTCTGATTGTCTTACACATTTGTGTTCTCTTTTGAGTTAAGTTCTGTGGAGCTGAAAGCTCATGAATTTTACAGACATAGGGCAAAAACACAGAACTAGGAGGATGGATTTTGGAGATTCTTGGGAAAGGTGGAGAACATAAAATTACCCCTCAATGATGACAAAATTTTAGGCCAAAACATGAAAAAAGTCTTTGGTTTGCTGGATGAAATTGTTATAAAAGGGTCATCTTCCCTAGGATATCCAAGAGGAGTCCCAGTGAGAGCCTAGTATCAAGGTGTAGCAGAAGCCCGAGGCCTCAAACCAGATCAGTGACTCAATGAAATGAACACTTAAAACTGTAAAAGTACACTGTGTGACTGACTCACTGGGCAGATTTTTTGTTTGTTTGTTTGTTTGGGTTTTTTTTTTTTGTCTTTGGGAGGGAGGTTGAAAGGGCAGATGGAGGAAGAGGAGTGATATGGAGATGAGTGGAACTGGAATAAATGATATACAATCCATAACGAATCAATACAAGATGTATTAAAGATCAATTTTATCTTTATTTTAAAATGTTTTCTCTGTGAAATTTGTGGTATTTTCTATTTATACCTGGGTCTCAAAATGATAAGAAGCAGACGAAGTGGAATTGGCAGTCCCTGCAGCTCACATTCTAGGCTTCTTCCTCACTCTCATAGTTTGGTTCTTGTTGAGGTGATTAAATCACAGATATGAGGGAAAACAACCTAAGTTCTTCCTAAGAAAATGAAATTACAACCAGAGACAAGCAGGGTAGTGACTTCTTACACTGTGATTGAATGCTCTGAGCATTCAATCTCATTCCCCCCCCCTTCCTAACCTGTCCCATATCTGGACCAGATGACATTTGCTCTTTTCTTTGGCTTCTATAGAAAATACAAACCCTGGAAACTCCAAACTGTCAACATGTGAGACCCTTTGTCACTGCTTCCTAACCACAATAAACGCCAAAGTAATCTTTTGAGTGCATTCTCAAGGCATCATCATACCAGCTTGGAAATACAGTATCTGAGTCTAAAGAGTCTCCTCATGTGACCATTAATTAGACTTCTTGATCTGTTTTATAAAATTCATCTCACTCAGCTCAAATTTTGGGGGAAGGATTTTCTATTTAATTCTGATCACACCATGAGAAAACTTGCTCGAGATTACCATAAACATGTTTGATGGAGACTAAAACCTAGAACACTTTTATGTAATGGACAAAATTGTGCCTGGGAAGCTGCATGCTGGGAGACACATGTCCCAGACTAAACAAATTATTTTCCCCTGTAGAAAGTAAAAACCCACCGAAGATAATTGACTGGGAAAAATGACAGACCTCATCCAGGCTCTAGGACAATGTGCCAGGCAAATATGCACTAACTGGTGAGAGGAGGGGCAACAAAAAGGATACAAGATGGATATATAATTCAGTAGTTAAAAGCACCTGCTGTTATTTCTATAGGACCTGAGTTCAACTCCCTGTATTCAGATGGCAGCCCACAACCATCTGTAACTCCAGTTACAGGGGCTCTGATGCCATTCTCTGGCCTCCATGGGCAACAAGAACCCATGTGGTGCATAGACAGGGGTGCAGGTAAAACACCCATACACATAAAAAAAAGGAAGGTGAGTGCATTCACAACATAATATGATGAAAGGATTAGACAGGAGCGAGCCTTGCTCCCAAAAGACAGTTAAGTGGTTTTATGCAGTGTTCAATGGACATGTTAAGCTCAGGGTAGCTAGTGATGGCTATCACATGGATGGGAGCAAAACAGTAGCTCAATTAGTTATCATACACAGTGTTAGGCATCTCAAGTCCAGCTTATATGTAAGATGTTGAATAGTAATAGCAGTCAGACTGAAAGCAGAATCTACTTCTTAAAGACGACCTTCTACAACTCAAACTGTATTCTGAATCCCTACTGTAAGGCTCATATCCTGCATCATGTCCAAGAGTCTAGATAAGACAAAAAGTGAGGGGAGATAAGTACCTCAGTACAATAGGTTAGACAAGCAAAAGAAAACTGTGACGATGCAAAATTAAGGGACATTTGATGAACCAGAATCTCTGGTATTTTTATATATAGATACAGTGTTTCTGAAGATGTGAGTATCAGATAGTGATTACTGTAAGAGTTTGAACTATTAAAAATGTAGTTCTAATTATTGATTTAAACTACAAAATCATGAGTTCAGGAAGATAGGCTATATTCTAGAAGTTCATGATGTGTACTTGAAGTTAACTGAGTACCAAATCTCTAAAATTGTAAATTTTATAAGATTTTCTAAAAGAATGTCTATCCATAGATAACTGCCTCTATCTGTTTATCTATCTATCTATCTATCTATCTATCTATCTATCTATCTATCTATCAATCAGATTTATTTAAGAGGAAAACCATACCTAGGTTCATGATCACAGCTCCTGGCATTATATATTTGCTATTAGGAAAGATTACATACACAGGGTGGAGTAACCAAACTAGTCACAATTCAGTGACACTGCAAATGCAGAAACCAAAAGAAAGAGGAGTCTCAAATGGCCACTGCTGCTCTCATTGGTAGAGATATGGAGAGAGCATTTGCTGAGGCATTAGTAAAAGTTTCACCAATGGATGCAACCATAAAGATGTCTAACAGAACAGTAAATCACAGAGATTTAAACCTACTCACCTTCTTAGTTATCAGAAAGTTGATGACCACTCTGTGAACAGCGAAGTTCTGAATCAGAAGCACAAACAGTCACTCCTCCTTTCGTCCGTGGTCACATGTGTGTGCAGCAACTTCAGGTGCCATCTTCTTCCAAGAAAGACTCCATAGAAAGTCAGGGGTGGGCAAACTATGTCACTCTACTGTAACAGAGAAAAACCAAATCTTCCTGAGTTCTTCGTTGTTGAATCTTGTTCACATCTTTGTCCACATATGAATGACCTAAGTTGTCTGATGATATTAATCAAAACTTGACTGTACTGAGGCATTACTAACCATGAAAGTGAAAATGGACAACGGTCACTTCTCAGTGATGGCCAGTGCTCCAACGTAGAAGTCCCTGGTGATGAAAGTTACATTGACTGGCTGGAATTAAGGCTAAACTGGAATGGTGAAGCCTGTGGAGCTACTCCCTTCACCAGCCTCCACTTGCTTTGCCTCACATATCTACAAATAAAGACAAATCTGACCTTTTAAAAATACCTTCTCAGAATTGGTGTCTTCTCTCCACATTCACAAGAATTAATGTCTGTCTGCTGCCTCCATCTCTCTGATTGACTCATATTCTACCTTGAGATGTTGCTGGCAGAAGAGACAGAACTCTTTGTTCTGTCAGGAAGAGAAGCCTTTCTTAGGCTCCCCAAGTCACCAAGTCAGCATGTTGTTCAAGAAACAGTTAACTAACCTGTATTCTCTATGCGCTGTCAGAAACCACTACCCACAGATATGTAGCAATATGTTTGCAGTAACTAAACCATCGGAGGAAATAATATTGTATTCACACATGATGTATGGTGGGAGGAAGATGAAAGGCTATACTTCTCCCTCCCTCAAACACCAACACCTTATAGACATTATATAATATTCAAATGACAGGATAATTTTGCGAATGTACCATACATTCAATTTAATATTTTTAAATGGAATAGAAAGTAAGAATAAAGAACACAGCACTACATGTGTCTTTCTGTCTTTCCCCCATGAAATATCTAGTGATCAAATATGCTTTATTGGGGCAAATAAAAATGAATGCTGTTTGCTTTTCCTCTGAGAGACATGTCTAGTGAAGAGCTGAATGCCACCAATCACTTCTTCCCTATTCAATTCATTCTTTCTCTGGATAGAAACTACAAGCCAATGGGCACATGGACTCCCCCTGTGATGCAAATTGTCTTGGTGTTCTTCCCTGAGTTTGTCTCTTTTGTTCTGATTGTCATAATTTGGACAGGATAGTGAGTATTTAGTAATGGCCACAGTTGTCTCTATTTTCTATAGGATAATTTGAATAGGACTAGAAGCTACTCCAGGATCAAAAGAGGGCAACAACTCTGAAACTTTCATTGTTGTCAGAAGGGACTGGGCAATATAGACCATCTATATGCAGTGTGCAGGTTACACATGTCAATCAACCTCAAGCTCAGTAACTTCACAATGCTCAGAAGCATGTGATGGACCACCCTCCATCCCCACCCCATCACCAAACTTTTTAGTAATGATATTATTCAACCTAGTGAGTTTCACTGTTCTTTTTATAAATAAATCAAGTGCAAACATATGGGTAAAATGAAGCAGTCAAACCAATTATAAACCAAATACAACTTACTTAATAACAGCACAATGACTGAAGGAAAGTTTGAGCTCTTGACAAGCTGGCATGCCCTTAAGACTGTCACTGATGTATTGTTACATCTTTAAGTCTGTTGATTTGATTGACTCCCTACTTTGACATTACATGGCCATAATCTAAGGATGCTTAAAGCAGTAAGTTTGTCCACCTTTCCTGCAGAGTTTTAGTCAGGAGTGATGCTCTCCTCATATAAAAGGGGGTATTGTAAGATGGACCTGAAGACTCCAGGGACCCTTGAGTACTTTTTGAATCCCAGTGGCTAGAAAAATAGGAAAAATCAGTTCAAGTTGTGCCACACCCATAGCTCTGTCATTGCCTAACACTCCCATCTTGTTATCTCTGCTTGAAAAGATAAAGAACTCACAAAGGATTAAATATGACTTATTTTGAAAATAGTTTCATGTTAATAGCTTAAAAATACATCCCAATAATTTTGCTCAAACTTGCTTGACACATCTGGATATTTTCATCTAAAGCTCACATCCTGTACAGTTCCCTCCTCTCAACCTCATTTCTTTATATATCAGAATTTCTTTCTCCCATTAGTAAAAATAAAATCATGTAGGTGCAATTTTGTTTTCTTTATTCTTTGGGGACTAAATTTAACTAATTAACATTTTAATAACATTCCACCATTTGTTCTTGCAAAATTAGGGGACTTGCTGAAGATAGATTAAGATATACTCTGAGCCATCTGGAATTCAAGCAGCTTTGATTTTAAATAAGTTCTTCTTTTTCTATGTGCTCCTGGACATTTTAGAGTGATTAACATATAGGCCATAAGGTAAACTGTGGAAAGAATGGGATTTATTTATTTTTATTACAGTTCTCACACTCAAGAGATTCTGAATTGTTTCCCTAAATGAGATTTAGATATCAGTGAGTATCCTGGCAGAACAGACACTTGAGGTAAGGCCGTGGAATCTCACTGATTCAGAATCATCGGAGGAAGCTCAGTCCGAAGGTTTTTGAATAATATGCTTGTCAAAAACAAATGTTTTCATTACTTTTAAAGTATATGCTGTAACTCAAAGAAGTTAAAGCATCGTTGCTGGCAGCAGCAGCATGGCACTGGTTTAATGATTGACTCAGGGTTGGTTCTGTGTAAAGGACATGTCGAGGAAAACTGTTTGGGTGAGGTACACATTTCCTCATAGGGAAAATGGGAAATGTAACTTTGCTGAGATTGGAACAAAGAAGGAACTCCTAAATAGGATGCTAGGATACACAAGCTACATATTAAATGACTATGTCCCTAAGAAAGATATCTTAAGCCACTTGATTTTAGAGGACTAAGTGGATTTTTCATTACAAGGATAATAGTTTGGGCCCAAGTGATCTTCTCTGATAACTGTAGACACAGTCAACAGAGGTTGGAAGAAAGCTAAGATTATGAAAAGTTTGGAAAGAGTAAGGTGGGAGTCTGTAAGAACCAAAGTCCCAGGGTCCCTCCTAGGTTTAACATCATGTCAATCCCACAATGGCAAACATGGTGAAATAGAATTCTACTCCCATGGCTCGCTCAGAGCCAAGGACTCCCTGATCCCAGGTGGAGCTGTGCTGACCCATCCTCCTCCCCATACTGATTCTTAACCATTACTCAACCATAAGCCTTTAAGTTTGCCCTTAGCACAAATCTCTAGGATTTATACTACTCTTCCCTCTTCTCCCCTGGTGCCTTGTTCTTGCTGAGTATTACATTGTTTTTCTCCCTTTACCCTCATTTCGCCATTATTTCATTTACACTTTCATCTGACAATGCACATATTTGTAAATGGGATAATAATATACCCTTACCTTTATGTTTCTGGCCTCACTTAATCTTCTCAATAACTTTGACAACTATGAATTTCTTTTTAAATTTGTTCTATATTTATTCATTTTAATTTTTTTTTGTGTGTGTTTGCCTGTATGTATGCCTGTGTACCACGCATGTTTGATGGTGCCTTTGGATGTCAGAAGGACTCGAATCCCTGAAACCAGAGTTACAGATTGTTGTGAACCACAAGGCGGGTGCTGGGAATGAGAGACAGGTCCTTTGCAAGAGTAACAAATGCTCTTAAACATCTCTCCAGCCCTGACAGCTATTATTTTCTATTCTTTCATAAATTTAAAAAAAACTGATACACAGCAAGTTAAGAGTCTCACTTACAATCACAATGACATTTTCTGATTCAATTTAATTGGACCTAGAAAAAAATACTTTAATTTTTGGAAAGAGTAAAAAAGACTCAGGACATCTTTAGAAAAGAAATAATCTTCTAAAAAATTCCTGAGTAGATCTAAGGGTTTTAGAGTTCTAATATTAGTTAAATAACAATTGACATAATAAAAACATAATAAAACTGTGACTCCAGGAGATTGATTTGTTGAAAATTTGATTTTAAAGAATATCAAAACTCTAAAACACAAATTCGCATAAAATTTCTGAGCTCTTCCTTCTTAATCTTTCCAAATTTAGATATTTTGGGTGTCTAAAACAGTCTTGTATTTGCATGAAGCAAGACAAATAGTCAGCCAGGAAGACCTCAGCCTCAGCCCTCAAACAAATTATATAATTTTTCCTGAGTGAATTTACTCAAATTTAAAAGAAAAAATCAACAGCCAGTGAACATGATAGTGAGAGCCCAGGATCTACCCTGCCACAGAGCTGTTGAGCAACACCGCTCTTATGTCTCTGCTGAGTCAGAGATTTGCTGCTGAGCCTCAGTGGACTGGACCACACAGTCTCCATAATCAACTATTATGCTAGGAAAGTAGCCTTGGACAACACACTAATGACAGCAATGACTGTATTCTAACATAGCGTGATTTACACAGAAACCATGCTTCAAGTCGGCTTTGACTTATAAGCAGCAGCTTTACAACTTTTAACCATGACTGTGTGTCTTAGGGGAATTTGAGTTTAAGATAAGATGTGTGATAGAGGGACTGGGGGAGTGACTCCATTGGTGCAGTACTTACCATAGAAGTATAGGGCACAGGTTCAAATCCTCATGACCCACATAAGAATAAGTTGGACATGGTATTGCATTCTTGTAATCCAGGTGTTACGGAAGCATTGGCAAGATTCCCATGGCAAGCTATCCAGCTAGTTCAAATGAATCAGTGAGTCCCTAGTTCAGTGAGAGAACTTGTCTCAAAAAATAAGGGGGAGAAAATATTAAAGAAGGTGTCTTGACATCATACTCTGGCCTCCATATGCACACATATACCTACACATGCATATTCACACGCATGAACACAAACAAAATACATGACAGAGAAATGAAACTAGTACGATCCTGAAGACACTTTTGCAACTCTCATTCTTGATATGACTTTAAAGCTGTACTATTCTTTGATTCATTATCCAATACTTGCCACTTTCTACTAAAGTCTAATTGAATATGGGTTAACATAGACTAGCTCTGGTTGCCTTGGCTTCAGAGTCAGCATGACAAAAAAAAAAAAAAAAAAAACAGAACTAAGCCAGCAGACAACAGCGGCTGTTAAGTCAGTCAGTAATTTTCCTTCAGAGCTGTCTGCGGACCCTTTTTGCAGCAACAGGGTAATGTGAGCAAATATTTTATCCTCAGATGAGGTTAAAAAAGAATATTGAACCCCCTCACTCTCCTGCCATCCACAAACTTAATCCCAGAATGGGTGACGCTCTACCACACAACTCCATCAAGGCTAAGATGCCTATTTACTTTCCTACCTGAACAATGTACTTGTCTTAGACTTTCATTCTTACCTTAGATGATTACTGAAGGAAAGAGGAATTTATTTTGGTTCACAATTTTCAAATTTTCAGCTCAAGGTTGGCTGGCCTTATAGTTTCTCCACCATGGTGAAGAAAAACATCACAGCTGTATTAACCAAGGTTTTCTAGAAAACGAGATGCATATATATTAAATATATATGCAGATAAGTATATATTAAAAGAGGATTTATTAGATAGGCTTACACAATATGGACTGGATACCCCAGAAATGACTGTCTGCACACTGGTGAGATGAAGAAGCAAGAGGAATCCAGTAATTGCTCAATCCATAAAAATGGGTAACTCATCAGTCCCAATTTCATGCTGGAAATCCAGGAAGAGCCATTAGTCTTCAGTCCATCATGGAATGCAAAAGAAGGTGGGCCGCAGGGTCTGTGACAAATGGTAATGGCAGTGGTAGAAGCCATAGTACAGGGCAGATGAAGTCCAAAACAAGGTACTAAGATAAACAGAAAAGCTCAAAAGGGGTGTTTGTTTGTTTGTTTGTTTGTTGTTTCCAGATCATCCTGCAACTGAGCAGCATCTGAGAGGATTTCATTCACACTTAAGATGGGTCTTATTCTGTAAATGATATAAGTAAGACGATCTTCACAGGAGTGCTCAGAAGGTCGGCTCACCAGCGATTCTAGATCTTTTTAATTGACAGTCAATGTTAAGCATCACCGTGACATAAAAGTATTTGTTTAATCTCATGATAGCCAAGAAAGGCAAGGGAGAATCATGGGAAAAAAAACAAACACTCAAACTTACACATTTCCTCCACCCAGGTGCCAATTTCCAAGGTTCCACCCCCTGCTCATATTGTATTCAAAACTTGAAACCATCAATGAATCTCCTAATGAGGGCAGAAAACTTACTATTTAATCACTTTCCAAAATTCCCACATCTGAGGACTGCATGCTTCAAAGGCAAAGCTTCTGTACTTCAGCCTTTTGTGGGACGGTGCATATCCAAACCGTAGTACTACTTTCCAGGAGTTATTATATTCTCTATTCACTTCTTTCAAATGTTGAATCGCATTTTCCATAGGAGAGTATCCCTTCTTTGCCCTGTAATATTTATCTAAACCATACTGTTTACATAAGGTTATATGTAGATAGTTTAAATTGTATTCTCTCTACAAGAGGCAACATTCTACTTAAGGCAAGCTGAGTATTACACGTGTATACATGTTCCCAACATGATCTCCTCCCTCTTCTTAAGTTAGGGACAGAAGCATACCCTGTGCTTCATATAGAACTCAGAGCTGGAAGATGGTAATCTGCATCCTACCAGGGCTATTTTCACTAGTTCAGGGAGTGCCCAGACAGAGCCCATCTGCTCAGCTGTCAATTGCTTCCTACTTGAAGCAGTTCACAATTGTCTTGGTAGTGACTTCTGGTGAAATTACAACCATAGTTTTTAGCAGTTTAAGGACACAATGAGAGTTTGTAGAAACACATTTTTTTTTGTCTCCTTCTGACTCATCATGAACAGGAATCCATTGAATCCCATACAAAAGTAGATTATATTCACCTCTGATGAAATAAATCAGGCAGGTATCCAGTGGTAGAGACTGAGACATGGATCCTTGGTATCAGCCTGTCCTATGTGCATTTGGGGACACAGAAGACCAGGATTTAATTAACTTGGTGACTGGCATAAAAGTCATTTTGTCTAGAATCCACATGACATAAATGGTTTAATGTCTGGCTTTCCAAACAGTCTATTGACTGTCCCCGTGTGTTTTCAGCCTCTTAACCATCTCTCCCTTCAGAGGAGAGTTTTGTTGAACACACTCGGAACAGCAGAGACACTCTACAAAAGTTTTATTGAGCTGCCTTTTACAACAGAAGTGTTCAGTGCAGTGACTTTCCCCATCCCTAATCCAATTTCATAATCTTACTAAATTGAAATAAGTGACTATCAAATTTAAAAATTAAAGATTTTCTAACATGCTGTATCTTTTGTCCCACAGTGTACACAGGCATATCTTATGGTAACTCCTTTTTAAAACAATAAATTTGAGGTAAAAATATTATACAAATGATCAGAACCAACCAGTCAGCAGTAGAACTTATTATAAGAACCCTGTCTATTAAACTCATGACAGGAAGTTTGTAGCTTTCTCTGGGTTCTGACACTTGGGCTTTGAGTTGCAGGCATCAATAGTTACTTTGTTTAGTTTTCCGAATATACTTCCTAATTTCCTAAAATACATTTGAGAACATTTCACCAATCCTCATTACTTAATTGGAAGAAATATTTTTCTTAGCAAATGTCTTTTAAATGTCTTTGTTGATGACTAATATTCTTTCAACATAGATCAGGAAACAGAGAGCAACTCCATGAGAATTTAATTCTCTCTATTTTAGAAGACTAAGTTTATTATAGTTTCTATATGCTTAAAATATGTTCAGGTTATAAAAAATCTTCCCTGGAAGGAAAAGGAAGTATGTATGAAGGTCTTCAACCTTAGTCAAGGATTTACAAAGTGTCTGCAGGGAAGGAAGAAGCAGGGCCAATTTATATTATTCACCTTGAACTTTAGACACATCAGTCATCTCATCTCAGGAAATAGATGCAAACTCAGAATGCTCAGAAAGCAGCTAGGACTCAGTGGGAGGGAGAGATAAACATGCATAGTAAGTATTCACTCTGGTAGGAACCAAACTAATATGCAGCAGAGGGTCTTCTGAGATGATAATACCCAGCTTTGGGTCTGTGTGGCCAGCCAGAATACTAAGAATAGGAATCAGAAAAACAAGTAAAAAGACAGATGTCTTCTAAGATGGTCTTTCATGAAGTATGCCCCAGAGAACAAGAGTTCTGAGCATGATCCTTCCAAAGAGTGTTCTTGGTCAACTGACTAGAAAACACCAGCTGCTATACCCTCTTGAAGATTCAAAATGCAAACAAGTGATAAATATACTTAAGTAAATACTCTTCAGTATGAAAGATGTTAAATATGAAAAATGTGCATAAGAATAAAAACAATCCCCTATACCCACTATTCAGATTAAGTAACACTGTGCTTTGTTGTTTAACATGCATATTTTTTAATAATTATAGATGCTTTCTTGGTGCAATTGATCTGTCAAAACAATCTTCCCAGCCTTCTTTGGAGGCTACTTACTTCAAACACGTTTACTTATAGAACTTTATTTTAATGATACCTATATTAACAGTCCATAGAAGATCTGAAGTCAACTTACAATTGTTGAAACATGATTTAGGATTAACATCTGCTATTTTCAAAATAGGATAGTTACTGTGCTTCGGACAGAAAGAAATGGGTCAGGAAACCAAGAAGTAAGCTTGGGACCACAGTGTACAGTGATTCTTGGAGAAATGAAAGCTACAATGTCAGATCTCTCTGGGAGATGCCAGAGCACAGAGGACGAATTTTATGAGAAAATATGAAACTTCCCTGTTCCCCCCAGGGACCCACGAAGGCTCCAGGAAGGCTTATACTATGCTAGATAGACTATTCTAGGGTTCCCAGTCAGGTAAGGGAGAAACAAATTCTGAGAAGAGGAAAAATACAAATAAAGGTATGTTCTAGAACTAACATCCTCCTCAGTGGGTATCCAAACTACTGGCAAACTAGCAGCTCTAATATGGACAAAGTTCCTGTGAGAGATTCAGTTCTGTTGACACCTAAATCCAGGACATCTCTCTGTGCCCTTCTGTGCCCTCCAGAAACAAAACATTTCTTCCATTTTCCTGAAGCCTCAGTAATTTTGGTTGAAGTTATTGGTTTAGATTTTTGTCCATCTCATTCCCTCCACAGATACAAGGAAATGGCCATGTCCATCCATCTCAGCTGAGTCCAATTTTCTTTTACCAAATTGAAGGGCAGGGGAGCAATAATGAGTAAGGTCTGCCGAGGGACTGAGCTGAGTTACACTTGCAATAACTTCACACAGATGATCTACACCCTGAGCTATGTGGTGCTATTCAGATCCTTCTGAAGTGGAGCCAATGTAGCTGGTGTGGCTGATGGATTCTCAGAAGTACGCCTCAAGAATTTGGGATAGCCCCTTGAACTATTTTAACTATCCCATCCTTGGTACATGTGTTTTCCTCTAAGGATGAGTGCTATTTAGCAGTTCAAGAGTCTGTGATGGACCAGTTGTCAACTATTTGACCCTAAGAAAGGGAAGCCCTTTCTGACTATAGCCATGATGATATATTTCATCTGTTTACAGAGGGTTACAGAGCTAAGACACACGCTGCACTTGTTCTAGTGTGTGGCACGTAATAGAGCCTCAAAATTCAAATCTATTTTTGTTACAGATATTATAAATAACTGTAAAACAAAACAAAAGTCTGTCTGCAATAGCAAGGCATGATTGTCTTGAAGGATTTGAAAAATTAAAATCTGCTAGAAATATTTTCAGACAGTAAAACCAAGTAGAGAACAAAGAAAACAGAGATGATGAGTAAATATGTGTAATCTAATTGGGTCAGGGGAAGGAGGAGCTAATTGAGATTTAATTGACATTTCACCAACCTAGAATAGACACGTAATTCCTGGATACCACCAAGCATGACTTGTCTGAGACCTATCTCCTCTCTCTCCTTCCCTACCCTCCTGATATGCTCCAATGCTATGGAACAATGGGCTTAGGCCTAAATCACTCAT